AATGACAATGGTAATGACAAATGGGATAGCTCACCAGGAAGATAAAACAACACTTTACTTGGATGCACCTAATAACATGAACTAAGAATATATTAAGCAAAAACTGATAAATCCACAATTATAGTGGGAATTTTTAACATGGCATTTTCAATAATTGGCAGGCAAACATTAGTAAGCAGACAGACGTTCTCGACAACACAACACCAAGCCTGGCCTAATAAACATATGTTGAGCTCTGCACTCAACAGCACACATGCAACATTTTCTAACCCTGTATGAGACAACAATGCAAGTCTCAACATCATGCAGATCAAAATACAATCAAATTAGCAATTTAAATCAAAAGAAGGTCACAGAGGGGCACCGGGGTGGCTCAGTCAGTGGAGCATGTGACTCTTGATCTCAGGGTTGTGAGTTCAAGCCTGTGTTGGGATTACTTTAGAGATTACTTAAAAAAATCTTAAGGGGCACGTGGGTGGCTCAGTCGGTTGGGCATCTGCCTTCAGCTCAGGTCACAATCCCAGGGTCCTGGTATCAAGCCCCACATCGAGCTCCCTGCTCAGCGGGAGTCTGCTTCTCCCTCTCCTCCCTGCTCATGCTCTCTTCTCGCTGTCTCTGTCTGTCTCTCTCTCAAATAAATAAATAAAATCTTAAAAAGAAAAAGAAAAAAAGAAGGTCATAGAATTAGAAGACATGACAACAGGTGGGGCTCTAAATGGCCCCCTTTCCACGCTGGGCAGATTCATATGGCCCATTCCAGGCAACAGCCCTGACCCTTGTCTAAAAAAGTAAGGAAGCCCTAGCACAGACTTCCATGCTTGCCACTTTGTCCAGTGTGGGTCTGTCCTATCCCTGGTGTCAACTGGGGCCAGTCCCTGTGGGTTCCTGAAGGCCCCAAGGAGGAACATCACAAGGTCTCCCCGGATAGCAGCTATGACTGAGGCAACAGGACTCTATCTCTTTCAGCTGAGGCAGCAGGTGGCGAGTACCCTGCATTCACACTCAGGCAACCCCAGCCTGGGGTTATCTCCTCACTCCAGGGTGAGTGAGCCACTCAGCGGGAGCCTGCCCCTCATTGCCTGCAGGCTGCGGGGTGCGGCACTGGTGAGAGTCTCCGCACAAGCCTGGGCACACAGGAGGGCAACTAGATCCACCAAGAGTGGGGACAACAGAGTTGGGCAGGGGTTTTAGTCTGCCCAAGGGGAGAGCTTGGATGGGCCATGGGACCCAGACAGAAGTGGACCCTGGGTGCCCCATGGCTGGGGGACAGTCGTAAGAAGCCACTTGGAGGAAAGGCACTGCCTGCTTCTTGGAGGTACACTTGGAGGTTCCTCATTTAGAAAAACTCCAAAGGAGGGAGAGTGAGCTTTGCAGGTCCTCTCAGGCCAAAGAGCCTGAAGCCAGATCTCCTGTGGACATCAGAAGCCACCCTTCCCCTTCCTGCCACCTCCTCTTCCTCTGCCAGCTCCAAACCCAGAGGAGGGTGGGAGGGGGCGTGGCAGAAAAGAGACACCAGCCTGTCCCTCCCTCCATGGGCTTCCCTGAACCACCCAGAGCTGAGGGGGCTGGGGGCTTGTCTGTGAGTGAGGTTCAGGGATGTTTTATTTCTACAGGACTGGATATCTTCATTATTAAATGAGAGGGTTATGATGGCTAAGAGTAACTGGAAACTTTTCCAGCAGTGACTTTGGGTCAAAGTGCCTGTCACAGGCCAAGCCAGTCAAACACCTGATTGAAGAGGAACCCGGGGTGGGGAGGGGGTCGCCTACAGATCCTGCAGCCCAGGGCCTTGACCTTCCTGGTGTCTGACTATTGAGCTATAGCTTAGTGTGGAGGACGGCCAGTGTCCCTCCAGTCATTCTGCGCCGTTGGCCCTGCTACCTTGACAGAGCAGCTTTGAGCTGATTCTCACCACGCACCCGGCACCTTCATCAGTTCTCAGACCCGCCGGGCTCGGACCCCTTTCACAGGACCAGCACATTTTTAGAAATGGAGTTTGGGGGCACCTGGGTGGCTCAGTCGGTTAAGGTCCTGGGATCGAGCCCTGCATCACGTCGGGCTCCCTGCTCAGCGGGGAGCCTGCTTCTCCCTCTCCCTCTGCCTGCTGCTCCCCCTCTTGTGCTCACTCACTCTCTCCATCAAATAAATGAAATCAGAAGAAAGAAAGAAAGAAAGAAAGAAAGAAAGAAAGAAAGAAAGAAAGAAAGAAAGAAAGAGAGAAAGAGAGAGAGAGAGAGAGAGAAGGAAGGAAGGAAGGAAGGAAGGAAGGAAGGAAGGAAGGAAGGAAGGAAGGAAGGAAGGAAGGAAGAAAAGAGGAAGGAAGGAAGGAAGGAAGGAAAGAAAGAAAGAAAGAAAGAAAGAAAGAAAGAAAGAAAGAAAGAAAGAAAGAAAGAAAGAAAGAAAGAAAGAAAGAAGGAAAGAAAAGAAAAGAAAAAAAGAAAAGAAAAGGAAGGGAAGGGAAAGGAAAGGAAAGGACAAGAAAAGAAAAGAAATGGAGTTTGCAGTCTGAGAACCCTGAGGCAGGGAACAGACTGCAGGGCCCACCACTCTGCTGGTTCACACCCAGGATTCTGTCCCGGTCCCAGCTTGGCTGCGGTGCCCGCCCTGCTCCTCCCTTCGTCACTCGTGTCTCTAGATCTGTCCTCAACTCTGAAGGCCAGCTGACCCAAGTTGACAGGTCCCCAGAATCCTAACACAGCAGCTATCCGGTAGCTAAATCGATCATTGCTAACAATTACTGGGGGGAAAAAGAGGTGTAGCTCCCTGAAGAACCTAATTTATAGTCAGTTTGGCTGGTTAGTGAATAGTAATGAAAAAGAAATGAATCATGAGGTAATTAATCAATCCAGTTGTTGGCTTTCGAAGACACGTTTTATTGTGGAAATGCACCCACACACGTACACAAAGCCGGGAGAATGTCATGAATCCTCCATGTACCCTTCACCCAGCTCCAACAGTTCTCAGCACTGGGCTAATCTCAGTTCACTTTGTCCTCCCCACACCCCCCACCACCCCCACACATCACCCACCCCCCACAGCAGCATTATTTTAAAGCAAATCCAAGATGTCATAGCAGCTCATCCACAAATATGGCCCACTGGTATCTCTAATTGATGTCTCCAAGAGATAAGATCTCTCTCTCTTTTTAATGTAATAACTACTACTAGCACACTAAAAAAAAAAAAAAAAAAACAGTAATTCCTTAATATCATTCAAATACACAGTCAGCATCCAAATTTCCCTAATTATCTCTTAAATGTCTCTTTACGAGCGGTTTATTTAAATCTGGATTCAAACCATGTCCAGCATCACGTGTGGTCAATACGTCTCTTAATTCTCTCGTAATCTGCAACAGCCTCCTTCCTCTTTTTCTTTTTCCTTGTCACTTATTTGCTGGAAGAAATGGAATTATTTGTGAGGTAGACTTCACCATATTCTGGATTCTGCTGACTGCATCTGCATGGAGTTGTTTTGTTTTGGGGTTTGGGGGTTGTGTTTTTTTTTTGAAAGCTGTTGTGTATTTTATGATTTTTCCATTTAGGGGCACCTGGGTGGCTCAGATGGTTAAGCGTCTGCCCTTGGCTCAGGTCATGAACCCAGAGTCCTGGGATGGAGCCCCGCATCAGACTTCCAGTTCAGCAGGGAGTCTGCTTCTCCTTCTCCCTCTGCCTCTCCCCCTGCTTGTGCTGTCTCTCTCTTTCTCAAATGAATAAAATCTTTAAAAAACATAATAATTTTTCCATTTAAAGACCACTTTTTTTTTCATTTCAAAACCATTTTTTTATTTGAGTATAGTCGACACAGTGTTACCTTAGTTTCAGGTGTACAACACGGTGATTCCCCCACTTGATACATTACGTTACACTCACCACACATGTAGCTCGCATCCATCACCATACAACCCATTACAATACCACTGACTGTGTGCCCTGTGCTGGGCCTTTTACTCCAGTGACTTACTCATCCCATAACTGGAAGCCTGGGCCTCTCTCTCTCCCCTTCACCCATTTTGCCCACACCCTGCCCACTTCCCTCGGTCATCCATCAGTTTGTTCTCTATATTTACAGGTCTGACTCTGCTTTTTGTTGTCATTTGGTTTTTGTTTATAGATTCCACTTATAAGGGAAATCATATGGTATCTGTCCTGGAGTTTTAACATGTCCCTCTATAACTTGTGTTTCCTACAAACTGGTAGTTGATCTACAGACCTCTCCGGTACAATTTCCATTTCTTCGGTAAGAACACCACAGTTGTGCCAGGTGCTTCTTGTTGTGTCACATCAGGAGGCTCCTAAGTTCTGTCTGTCCCTCTCCCCAGGGAGACGGGACCGCAGGCTCGAGCGTTACCATCACCTTCACCACATGCTCATCGCCGGGCACGGCCCCGCTTCACCAGAGGGGTCGCCTTGCAGAATAAGAGTCACTTCAAGTTGCTGCGTTCGTCTCAATACTTTTTAATTTCAGTCACAGAATAAAATTGTAGCTAGCTTATAAAAGTCTATGAACCTCAAAGCAATCCAACATCTTGTCAGTCACTATGACACAATTTCGTATTCAACTGTACATATTTTTACTGTGCTCAGACTAGAGTTATTCTGTCTTCACACGCAGATTTAACGCTGTTACATACTTTAACAAGGATAGTATGTGAAATGGCTATTATTTCTGTTTTATTTAAGGGTTATTTTGCAGCATGACTAAAGTGCGGGGGGAGATGTATGGTATGTATTAGTAGGGAGGTGATTTGGGGGAAGGATTATGTGAAAAGATTTGTGGGATTGAGAAGAAGCGGTTTCAAGCATGACTATGCAGGGGAATGTTACAAAATGGTGTTCTTTCTTATTAGTGATCAGCAAGTAGCGTGAAAGGCAACAGAGCTTGGTGTGAGTGAACAATCCTGAGGCCCAAGGTGTCCGGTTGGAGCCTTACATAAGCACCAACAGCTGGATCACATTTCCGGTTCAGATATTTAAAATAACACCATGAAGATCAAAATATTATTTTATCTATAGCATGTCCACTTTTATGTTTATTTTTCCTTGAAATAAAAATGTTCTAAAGTTACATGGCTTTCCACAATGCTTGTCTAATTCATTTTTCTCAACTGAGGCAATGAAATTCCACACAGATTTTCTTATACATCTTCTTAGGGTTTATACTCGGTTAGAAAACCCAATATTTCTGGATTTCACAGGAGTTCTATTTTTTATTGATAATTTCTTTCAAACAAAAGCTAATCTTCAACTTCTTTAGGAGTTACTAGAAAAGGAAGCGCCAGTTTGGAGAGAAAAATAAGAATATGGTTCTTTTAATTTTGAGCCCTTCGGCAGGATCTAAATCTCAGGTGCTCAGGATAAAATGTTGACTATGGTGCTTTCTTCCCATACTCACAGTACTACAGAGACATTCGTAATGTTCCCTCTTCAAATTGGAAACAGTAAGTTGCATTTGCCTCCTGACATAGAGTCCTGGTACAGTATTACAGAGCATATATTCAAGCACGGAATTTATAAGTAAACAAACATTTCCTTGCATAAATGCATAGGAGACTATTGAATATCAAGTATAGCACAAGGGTAAGACCGCAGAGGAGACACCAGGATTCAGTGCCCCTCATTTTTAAACAGTCGTTTCTCCAAAGAAAAAGCAACACTGGTTTGCAAAAGTCAAATAATCTTTTCAAATTACTCTGCATAAAGATGTACAAGTCTCCCAGAACATGGGGGGCCAGTTTATTACAAAGACAGCCTCTAAAAGGGACGGCTTCCCTCCTCCGCCATCATCAGTAACATTGGAACACCCGGTTTGTGTCAGGAGGCTGGCTGGGTTTAAAAATCCAGGCTCACTTTCTGTTAACAAAACGCACGTGGATGGGCCCCCCTGGCATCAGCAGCCCATGGGTTTTTGCAGGAACGGCTTTAGTCCAAGAGGATGTTTTGATCTCAAAATGTTGAAGCAACTAAGAAGAGAAAGAGAGAGGGGGGATTCAAAATGGGGACAACAGAGGCCTCGCAGTGCTCTGAATGAGTGCCCCTCATCTTCCTGCGGTGGCCATGGGTTGCAGGGAACCCAGGAAGTGGGCACGGCCGTGGTGCAGGACACCAATCGCCGGTCAGGGGGATGCAGGGGATGCTGCGGGTCTGAAAGCAGCACTAGGTCCTGCACAGGAGCCCGGCCTGTCCACTGAGCAACTGGGAAGTTCATGTGACAAAGATATGCAGACACAATATTCAAATGACTTCCATTTTCTCAGCCATTTCAAAACTCCAACTCCTCTGCTTCCTCTTCAGGTCGAGGTAGAGAAGTAATCAAAGGAGCAAAGAGAACAGAGGGACAAGTTTTCCCTCCGGCTGGGAACCTGAAGTGACATAGCACAGCACAGCACACTGCTGTTGGCAGGTGAATCACCCAAACAGGCTTCAGTGATTGATGTCCTCAGTTTAAATATTCTCGATCTGTACCTTTGATTCCATTTCTCATTTCTGCGGTTCAAAAGGAGAACCAGCTCTACCATTCAGGGTCAAACTGGAAAGTACCTCAATAGTGAGTTTTAGGGGCGCTGGGTGGCTCAGTCAGTTAAGCGTCTGCCTTCAGCTCAGGTCCTGATCTCAGGGTCCTGGGTTCAAGCCCCGAGTCTAACTCCCTGCTCAGCAGGAGAGTCTGCTTCTCTTTCTGCCCCTGCCCCCACTTGTGCTCTCTCTCTCTCTCTCAAATAAATAAAACCTTTAAAAACACACACACAATGAGTTTTAAAGAGCACCAAAATATCCAACAGCTTAAAGCAATAACCTCTGCCACCAACTGGCCCTGGCCTGATGTTCAAGGTCAGGTTGGCTTAGGGAACTGAAGGCAACCTGCTCTAAAGACCCGTGTCATGGGCACCTGGGTGGCTCAGTCGTTAAGTGTCTGCCTTCGGCTCAAGTCGTGATCCCAGAGTCCTGGGATCGAGCCCCGCATCAGGCTCCCTGCTCAGCGGGAAGCCTGCTTCTCCCTCTCCCACTCCCTCTGCTTGTGTTCCCTCTCTCGCTGTATCTCTCTCTGTCAAATAAATAAATAAAATCTTAAAAAAAAAAAAAGACCCATGTCAGAGCACACATGTGTTCCTGGTGGGGGTGGAAGGGCCGTGCTCACCAGCACACTAGCTGCTGGCCCCTACTCTGCTGCCCACTGGGTCCAGAATAAAGTCCAGCCTAATGAAGTGTCAGTTTTGGAGAACATATAATGTCACATGGGATCCAAGCTGCCCACCCCCACCCTGCCCCGACTCCCTCTCCAGCCTCGTCCCCCAAGCAAAGCAGCAGGACCCACTGATGGATCCTCAGGTGGGCTGAGGCTCCAGGGGAGGTCAGGCAGGGAGAAGGGGCAGGGCTGACTGGGGACATATGTTGGACCCCCTCCATTGTCACATTTCAAGAGCCAAGCTGAATGACCCGTATTTCGGCAGCTCCAACACATTATAGCATCGAGATAGCTTCAGCAAAACATCTAACCTCTGACCTTCAGTTCTGACTCCACAGAACTGCTTGCACACCCCACATGGCAGGAGAACTCACGTGTAGGTCTCCTCACTTCAAGGCCAACGTGCCACATGGCCTTCTTCCCTTTCTGAGTGGGCAACACTACGCTCGCTAAAAAAAAAATCCAAACTACACAGAAAAGGTACAAGCAAAAAACAAAGCCCCTCTTGCGCCTCAAGTCCCAACTCCCAAAGAGCTAAAATGTATTTCCTAAAAGTTCTCTGTGTGATACAAATACCCTGTTCCCATTTGACAGTGCTCCATTAACGTCCTTTCCCTTCCCGAAGCCAAAGGCATGTGCCCTGTCCTACTGGGGGAGACTCCATTTATTTGGTTAAGGAAAGCCCGTCCGTTACTACTGTGCTAAGAGATTTTCTTCCTGAATGTGTGTGGAATGCTATCAATTCTTTCTGGGGGTGGTCATATATTTTTCCTCCTTCAATTAGCTATTGTGGTAAATGATATCAACAGATGTCCCTGAGGTGGGCCATCCTTGCATTCCTGAATACACCTGATGTGCTGGGGATGCACTTCTGTTTCCTATGCTGCTGGATTTGGTTTACCAATTTCTCATTTAGGATATTTTCCATCTTTGTTAATAAATCAGATTGGCCGGTAGTTTTCCTTTCCCGTATTATCCTCTCCAGGTTTTGAATATTGGGGCTATGCAAGTCTCATAAAATGAGACTTCCCTTTTCTAGTCTCTGTTTGTATAAGATGATGTTTGTATAAGATGATGATTACCCATTCATGAAGGTTTGATAAAACTTGCAATGAAACTGTCTAGGTCTGGAACATTTGGGAGGTAAATCTTCTTACCACCAACTCCATGTATTCAGTATCTGAGGTCTATTGTCCTTCGAGTCAATTTGGGCAACCTACGTTTTCTAGTACATTGTGTATTTTATCTAAGTCTTCAAATGTATTAGCAAAAAAAAAAAAGCCATTTGTGGTATTTTCTTGATTTAAAAAAATCAACGACTGCACATGTCTATGTCCCCTTTCTCATTCCTAGCATGGCTCATTTGTGCCTTCTCTCTCTTTTTTTTTTTCCTTGACAATTACAAAAAATGATGCTCCGTTTCTCTATTTGCACAAGTAGAAATGAGGACTCAAGGAAAAACTGCAGCAGGTACATTTGTATGTTAATAGCACCAAACAAACAAAACCCCACCACTGCCACCAAACACCCCGTTTCTGACCCCCTTCCAACGGGAGCACCGGGCAGGGCTGGCCTCTGTGCCCTCAGCTGCCATCTTGCTCTTGTGGTGTCCCCTCCGGTTCTTCAGGCAGCCAGAACGGGGGGGGGGGGGGGGGGGGGTGCTAAGCTCCACAGCCAACTTTCCGTAGGAAGCGGCGTCTGCCTGTCCCGGATGCGGCTGCAGAATCTATGGAGCCAATGTTATGGAGCATGAGACCTTCTTGAACACCCAAGAGCAGACACTCAGAGCAGGTGCATGGACAACAGCCGCTTCCACTTCTCCGGCACAGACTGTGTCCTCACACACCCAAGAAGTAGGTATTTGGCCCATTTCGTGCATAAGGGAATAGGCTCCGCATGGTTGAGAAACCTGCCTGGAGTGTCGGAACTGCAAACAGTAGAGCTGGGATTTGAGTCCGCTTGCCCCGGAAATGCCATCCACGCCGCACCGAGCTGCCTCTCACATCAGACGCCGCCGGGATGGGCCAGTGTCCGCAGGGCCCACACCGTCCCCAGGAATGGCTGCACTGGTAGCAACACCATTGAGCCTGGCCAGCAGCCACCGCATCTCAACTGAGGGTGGGATGACCGTTTGACACACTGGTCACCGGGCTTCCTCCCACCTGAGCCGCCCAGCTTGAGAGGCGTTCTGCTCCCACGCCTCCTGCTGCGTGCTCTCCGGCTGGGCAGAAGCCCCCTCAACTTCCCAGCTCTCAGAGCCGTCCCCAAGTGCTGACTGTCCAGAATCCCTCTCCACCCCTCCCAGGCTGGCCAGGCTTCCATAGCACCTCACGCTCTCTCAGGCCATCTGTCATCGAGGTCCTAACCTCTCAGTGTCCTGCTGTAAGCTGCAGGAGAGCACCCCCATGACATAGAGAGAAATGGAGGAAGGAGTCAAGACACCTGGATTGTGCCATGCACCTACCACTCTGTGACCATGGCAAGTGGCTCCAGCTCTCTGAGCCTCAGTTGCCTCCTCAATAAAATGGGGATCCTGGGTCACCAGGTAATCTCTACATTCTTCCAATGCAATGTCAATGGCAGTAGCTCCCAAACCTTGGGCCAAGGTCTTCCACGGCTAAGATATGTTAACAGTAGTCTTCCTAAACTTGCAGGGAAACCTGATGAGTAGAATTTTCTCTACTAAAGTGTTTTCTTTTATAAAATTTCCTTCAAACATGATTTAACTTATGCTACAGCACAAACTGAAATACAGTATAGGCAGAAAAGCATCATTTTAATAGTAAGAGATTAAATATAACAAAACCAAGCCTTCCTGCTGTTTCACAACCTAAACAAGTGTGAGAACCACTGCACGGCCTAAGTGGCTGGTTCACACGTCTCTCAGAGTGCAGCCCAGCAATCACTGGCATCAGAACCCCCTGGCAGCCCCATCCCAGACCCACCAAATTCCTATCTCTGTGGTGGCCCAGGAACCTGCATTCTAAGGATCCTCCTAATGCCTTCGCTGTTCCAAAACGTTCGAAGACCACTGGTTTGACACCTTCCCGTTAACTTCTGTTGAGAGCTCCTCATGTGATGAAGAGCTGAGCTCTTGGACCCCTGTAGACCCACCACAGCATGCACACCTCCCAGTCCTCAGGCCTCCAAGAGCCCTAACTGCTGCTCCACGGTTCCAAGGAGAAAAGAGGCTCAGTGGGTGGTCAGGGGACCCAAGGGGGTGGAATTTTAAAATATAAAAGGGATTTAACATGAAGCTAGTGCATTTGAGTTCTCCAAATCACATCTCCTTTCCCACCTAAGTCTTGGTCTGGTGGAGCCCAGGAAACGAGGTTGAGGCAGAAGGCCGATGTCTGGCCCCCACACGCCTACCTGGATCAAGAGGAGGTGGATCTCCAGCTCTGCGATTCTCTGCCCGATGCAGCTCCGAACCCCGTACCCAAAGGGGATGGACCCAAAGTTGTCAACTCGGTCCAGGCTTCCCTTCCGCAGCCAGCGCTCCGGCCGGAACTCCCTGGGCCGAGGGAAGTTCTCATCCGCATAGGATGTGGCATAGTGGCAGAGGGCCAGCTGGGTCTGAGGACACCATTTGCAACAGAAAAGGAATAAAGAATAGGATCAGGCAAAAGCAGAGCAGAGGCAAGAACCCAGTTGGCCAGTCCCTCCCGAGGTGCTTCTGGCCAGAAGGAGCCACGTAAGGGCCCCCACAGACAGCAGTCCTCCTTCAGTGGATGCCCACCTCTCATGCCACTGCAGCCACTGAGGAGATTCAAGTCCTTCAAACCCCCCCCCTCACCCCGACAACTGCTGTGTCCACCATACCTGAGGGAGGGAGGAGCTACAGAAACATCTGGCTTTGCTTTTGCCAGGGCAATGAGCACCTCCTTGCTTCCAAAGCCCCATCTTCATTATAAAATACATGCAGTAGGAAAGGAACCTATTGATATTTGCTTGGGCTCAAGGACTTCCTAACATACCAGCAGATTTCCTGCTCAGCCACCATGGCAGAGCCCAAGTCCCCACACCCTGGCAACCAAACTCACGCCTTTGGGAATCAGGTACCCGCCAACGACCAGGTCTTCCTGGGTGACTCGGCCGTTCCCTGGCAGCACTGGAAACAGCCTGGAAAAGAAGCAGGAATGGGGTGGTCACTTTTAAAGTACTTTGCTAAACTTTCAAAAATCTGGTCATTTTGCCATTTTCATTTTTCTAAAACGTAACACGCGGTCCAGTTTCAACTAAGAAATCTCATAAGGATCTTCATGGCTCCTTAGCTTTGGCCAGGGAGTATTCTAAGGTATGGGAAAACAGGTCCCCTAGTCAAAAATGTTTATGAAACACAAAGCAGAGTTTTGAACGTGCTACTGTGTTCCCAGAAGGGATAATCCCAAGTCCGGGAAATTTATGTGCGCACGTGACTCCCTTTATCAAGAACAGTCCACAGGACTCAGGGGCCCTGGAAACACAGGTTGAGAAATGCTCTACTTCAGCTTGTGGACTGTCTCCGAGAAGCAATTCAGAGAAAACGCTGAATAAAACTGCAATCGACAAATACCAGTAAACACATAGCTAGCTTTTTTTCCCCTGAGGTTAAACAACATGCTGTGGATTGAGGATGCACCACAACTTGAAACACCATTATCAAGTTTAAAAGAATTATTGTAGAGTACACCATGTTGCCACTTCTACTCTTCTACATGGCAGTTCCTCAACAGAATCCTTGAACCTCAGAATCCTTGAACCTCAAAGGAGGAAGAAATTTCACTCGCCACCTGATCCTACCTCCCACCCAAACCCACCCGAGGCCACCCATATCCCTCACGTCCAGGCTTTTCCGAGTGTTGTTAAAGCCCTGTCCAGGAGCGAATAAGTCCATTTGGTGTCGCCAATCCAACTAGCATATCCACACGAGAACCACAGTAAACAGGTTTGGTAATTAAACAAACATCCCAAAATATTTTCCTGATCAATCTATCTTGTTCTGCTTTCCTTTCAGAGGAACAGGAACCATGGAGTACTGATCCAGGAGCATGCTGGGGAGCTTGGTGAACCAAATGACTAAAACAGGTACCATGTCATGGGGTGATGGCTCCAAAAAGCTTTATGAAGAACAACTAATATTTCAGACCCTAAAACAGAACAGCCTTTCTGCTATTCTGACAAGGGCAAAGAGGAAACAGATAGTTATAACTATCTCCTTCCTAAACATTTCGGTCACTGAAGGTTGTTGGCCCATTTGTTTTGGACCCGGTTTTTAAGTCCAAAGCATAAATCATAGTGATAAAGAATCAGAGACTTAAAAGACAGTTTTTGACATGAATTTTGATGAGCCTTTTACCTCAGCGTTTCCTTCAGCAGAGCTCTGACCAGTGGGACTTTGGGGACGTCAGCTGCAGTTGGGACATGCCTTTCCCCCAAATTCTTAACGATCTCCCGGTACACGGTCTGCTGCACTTCCGGGTGCCACGCGAGAAGGTACACTGCCCAGGATAAGGTGAAGGACGTCTAATAAAGAAACCGGCAGGCACAGGCACGTGGGTGAGTAACACCAGGATTTAAGTAGCAGGCAACGTCGGCCAGGAAGTCACGTGAGCATAAGCACATGTGCAAAGTCATGTCCGTTCAACTCTGTCTGAGCACGTTAGGGCTTAGCAGAGCAAAAGCTGATTTTCCCTAAATCATGCCAGAAAAAAAAAACCAAGTATTTTTGGAAAGTAGCATCAGCTATGTGATTCAATTGCTCTTTCAATGAAGGGGTGCAGAAATTATTTTTGAACCTTTTGGAACACATAAGAGCAATTCTCTTCGATGGTGTCTAAGAGGACCTAAGGATGCTGGTCAAGCCTGGAAGTGGTGCCGGGAACTTTCTGTGACCTTCTTTGCAAGGGCCATCTGGTTTTTTGCTAGAAACAGAGCCTGCCGGTCAGCCCGGGAACTGTTCAGTCTGGCACTGCGCAGGCCCACGATGGCTGGGCGGGGCCTGCTCTGGCCGCCTCAAGGGGCGGGGGGCGGTATTTGTCCTCCACTGTTTCCATGCTTTTCTCAAGTAAAGCAACCTGTAAGGATTTAATAGATCATTTATGCAAAACAGTACCATTTTTTTAAACCATGTCTGACTGAAGAATTACATTTCTGGTTATTTAAAATAATTATATCTTATTCTCCCAGGTTCCAAGACTCTCACTACATTTTCCCTATTACCTATGTGACTGTATTTTACTCTCATAAACAAGGAAAGTCCACAGTATAAATGCCTTTTCTTTTACCTAAAAAAAAATCTAAAGTCAGTAGACCATACTGCTATCATTTCCCTGTCATAGATATTATCTGTTTTTAGAGGGCAAGCTCTCCTATAATATATATAATGTTCAAGTTCTTCCTTATAAATGATAAGGAAAAAATTTAGAAATTTCTATTAAAATCACATTTCTGTGGAAAAACCAAATGCAGTATATCCATACAATGGAATACTACAGGCGTACCTTGGAGATATTGTGGGTTGGGTTCCAGACCACCACAATAAAATGAGTATCACAATAAAGCAAGTCAAATGAATAGTTTGCTTTCCTAGTGCAAATAAAAGCTATGTTTACATTACACTGTAACCTATTAAGTATCCAATAGCATTATGTCTAAAACAACAATGTACACACTTTAATTTAAAAATACTTTGTTGCTAAAAAATGCTAACCATCACCTGAGCTTTCAGCAAGTCCTAATCACCCACTGAGCACAAACCAGTGATTCTATTTTTATATGTTATTATAACAAATATAATATATACTTATATATTATATATTATAACAAATATAATGTGTATTATATATTGTTATAGCAAATATAATAATAATGAAAATGTTTGAAATATCATGAGAATTAGCAAAATGTGACATGGTGACACAAAGGGAGCAGATGCTGTTGTAAAAATAGAGCCAATAGACGTGCTCAGTGCAGGGTGGCCACAAACCTTCAATTTGTAAAATAAAAACGACACACTAATCTGCGAAGCACAGTAAAGCGAGGGATGCCTGTACTCCATAATAAAAAAGAATAAACTACTTTGATATGCAACTACATCGGTGAATCCTGAAATCATTTGCTGACTGAATGAAGCTGGATGCAAAATACACACTGAATGATTCCATTCCTATAAATTGCTAGAAAAGTGCGAACTGATGCTCAGCATCAGAAAGCAGATCATCGGTTGCCTGGGGCAGAGAGAGATGGACTGAAATGGGAGTAGGGAAATTCCAGGGGTGGTAGAAATGTTCAGGATCTTGATGATGGTGGTAGTTTCATAAATGATCGCATGTGTGCTTACCCTGTATCTGCCAACAAGTTATATCAAACTGTACGGTTTAAAAGGATGCAGTTTCTTTTGCTTAAATTATACTGCAATAAAGTTTTTTAAGTAATATTTTAGAAAATGAATATGAATTGTAAGAACGCTTCTGCTGATGTGGCCTCCAGGGGCCTCTGGTAGGAATGGTCCTTTCTGCCCTCCACCTCATGTGATGCTCTTAGTTACCACCAGGGGCCCGGAGGGACAACGCACCCAAATCCGCTTAGAGGCAAGGCCAACCACTCACTCATCCCTTCCCCATTCAAGCAAACCCGCACCACCCACCACATTCACATGACTGATTAGAATTTTCATTGATCACATTGATTTTATTGGTTAGCCTGATACATGTTTTTGTTTTATTGTTGTAGAAGATCCATAAGAATAAGGAGTTTTTACTAAGTTTTTTGCTTTTACATGTTTATGTGACATTATCATAAAAACAATGTCAACCCTGGGGGAGGGGGTTCTCCCTTTAAACAGAAGGTCTGTGCCTTATTCAAGTTCAGGAAGCACTCCTGTAAAGGAAAAGCTTTGAGGTCATGAGCTTAGTTGTTTAGTTTTGAAAGGCTTTGGAAAGAGTAAAGCACCAGGCAAATCTTAATTATTTCACTCAACTAACTTTTCCTCTACCAAATACTAAAAGCCCAGCCCTGCTTTTTCCTGTTTCACTACTTCTTTTTAGCAAATTTTAAAATTTCTCTGTACATATATCCATATGAATATCAGTTTTCATACATGAATAAATGTATCCTATTACACATATGTTTTAGGAGGAAACTTGGCTCCTATCCCCCCACAGCCCTCCATCCCCCAGGCAGGTAACCCATGTTAACAACCCATTGTGCACCCTCCATACTTCCTCCACACTCATAAAATCACATACAGGTACGGACATGCACACAGACAGGCAGGGGCCGGGCCACTGTTTGTTTTACCAACAGGAGCACGGCATACACAGGTTCTGCGTCTTCATTTCTCACTTAACAACAGGGGATGCAATTCCCACCCAGTCCATTGACAGTGCTTTGTTTCATTCGGATATTCATCTTTCCTTGGTCATAGTAGATTATTCATCTGCTACAATAAATCTATTCATCGGGATCTTACTTAAGACTGATAGACATGGGGTGCCTGGGTGGCTCAGTTGGTTAAGCGTCTGCCTTCAGCTCAGGTCATGATCCCAGGGTCCTGGGATTGAGTCCCACTTTGGGCTCTTTGCTCAGGGGAGAGTCTGCCGCTCCCTCTCCATCTGCCTCTCCCCCCAGCTCATGTGCTCTCTCACTCTCTCTCTCTCTGACAAATAAATAAATAAAATCTTAAAAAAAAAAAAAGACTGATAGACACACATATTCATAAGTCGAACTGTTTATTAAACTTTTCTTTCTTTATGCTCTCATTAGCAGGTTTGGGTTTAAAAGTGACGGTGGCTTTATAAAATGAATTAGGGAGTCCTCCATGACCTGCAACACTTTAAATCATAAATAATAAGGTTTCTAACATCTGTGCCTTCTTCATTTTTGATATTATGAAGCAATGGACCAATGCTTGCAAATCGGGAATGATTTTTTAACTTTAAAACACATTGTTACTTTGTGTGCATGATAACTGAATGGGGGTTGCATTTTTTGCAGAATTATGTTTTTACGTTTTAAAATACATGTATATTATTTAAAAGTTAGAGTTTCCTCCTGGAGATGTTCAGCAGCGAAGCAGATGTTCAGTTAGCACCAACACATATGCACATATAAGATTACTTGGAAAGGCCCCCGGCTTCAGCTGTACTTTGCTTATCAAGAAGAGAGCAAGGCCAAGACGCTCACCGTGTCGACGCCAGCCAGCAGCATCTCTGTGATGTTGGCGTAGATCTCCTCCAGCGTCAGCTCCTGGCTGAGGAAGAGGCATGTGAGCAGCCCCCCACTCACGCTCTCCCCGCGGTCCATGTGGCACTGTATGTCCCTCAGCTTGTTGTCAACGTGGATTTGGCCTGTTTGAAAAGAGTTATTTCTTTTGAAATAAGTTTTGGTTGAGAGTAATCTCTTCATCCTCCCAATAACTTAATCTGTGGCAGGTTCCAAAGCTAAATGAAACCCAGGTCGATTTACTGTCAACCTGGGAAGCTCATCCACATGCTTGTTTGTATAAATGAATGAAAATTTAAAGACACGGGCACCTGGGTGGCTCAGTCGGTTAGACATCTGCCTTCGGCTCAGGTCACGATCCCAGGGTCCTGGGATCGAGTCCCATGTCAGGCTCCCTGCTCTGTGGGAAGCCTGCTTCTCCCTCTCCGACCCCCATTCATGCTCTCTCTCGCTATCTCTTTCTTTCTCTCAAATAAATAAATAAAATCTTGAAAAAAAAGTTAAAGACAAGCTAAGCATCTCTTCCTCTCTAAAAATAATGCAGAAGATATTTGCAAATGTTTGCTTTACTCATCAAAAAGCCAAGAAAGCTTTGGAGTAACAAAACTACAGATCCCTTCTTTTTTTTTTTTTTCCTACGTTTCCAGAAGACGGAATGGCGTGAGCATAAAGGCCATGTTACATAAAAAGATAGTGGCACTTTCAATCCATAAGAACTTACGTATTCAAATGAATGTTGGCCTTCAAAAGACACTATGGACACATCTTTCAACGTTAGTGTTGTTCTAAAACCGTTGTTCTAACAAACATTTTGCAAATCTTTTTTTTTGGAAATTCTTGGTTAGCTATGTAGGGAAACAAATGTCGCTTTGCTGGGTTTGAACACGGTACTGTTTCCTCATTTGTTTTGCCAGAGGAATTTGTCTCTTTCCAAAAAGCTGCAAATGAGAATGGTCGAGTGAAAGCGCACAGGCCCAAAACGCTGTCTGCATCTCAAGCACTGACAGAATTATTGGACCAAAGTCATCATCTCCCTTAGACAACATTTACTTGCATAAATCACCGCTAGCATGTTTGTCACAATAAAAAGAATTAAAAAATGAGAAATCGGTCGTGTTGCTGATAGTGGCAACCCACATGCATCTCGTCATTTGAGAAGCCGAGCCAAATCCCGGGTCCAAGTAAAAACATGCAACTGCATCAGGCCACCCTCCGGAACGTCACCCCTCCGGCAGCATGAGCATCAGATGCACCACGAGCCGTGCAGTTGTGTCAACTGGTGAGACAACAGGTGCCCCTCATTCTTCTCTTACTGAATTTGAAGAGTCCGTCCCAGGACCTGCAGAACTCCCGCCAGGGTTTCGGAATGAAGGGGCGCAGCCACCTGGGGATGGCGCCCGCGTACATGGAGGTCTTGAACATGCTGAACATGAGCCCCAGAGCCTCGATGTAGTCCACGGTGGGCTGTGGGACGCTGGTCTCCAGGCAGCCCAGGCGGCTCTCATAAAGGATGGTGGCCACCCCTGCACAGGAGACAGAGTTTAAAACCCTCTTCTTCTCCATTACTCACAGTATCAACATGCAATATCTAGCCATAAAAGTAAGTTGCAAAAGCAATCGAGGCACCTTCCTCCAGCAAGGTTCTGTTTTATCACCAGAGGTTTTCTCTACCAGGTCCTGAGCTACAGGGCTCTAAGTATTCAATGCTGATGGAAAACAGGTCAGCAGGTCATTCCTTCTGCCTGGCAGGGCTCAACCGCATCACACCCCCTCCCTCCCTCCCTTCCCAAGGGTTTGTTCAAGACCCAGGATGCAAAGTCCCTAACCTTTCGGTCACTTGCCCAATGTTGGGGAATTGAAAGGTGGCTCCTCTGGGCCATGAAGCGGGGAGCCCCAGAGAGCCTCAGGAGCAGAGGAAACAGCTTCAGTGAATCAGGAAAAAGCAGGATTTTCCGCTGTGTTTACAACTCATCTCTCTGTTGATTTCGTTACTTTGTTCAGGGAGCATTAATATAACTTTAAAAAGTTAACTTAAAATTTAAATTTGAAATAAGGTAAACTCACTTTTAAAAAAGGAGAAGCCTGAAAGAAGGTCCTTGGGAAAAAGCAAAGTACAAAACAAGATGTTTGGTTCACTACTGTTTTGTTTTGTTTTGTTTTTCAAGTAAAAGGTAGGGACACCTGTCGGCTCAGTCGGTTAAGCCTCTGCTTTCGGCTCAGGTCATGATCCCAGGGTCCTGGGATGGAGCCCCACATCGGGCTCCCCGCTCAGCGGGGAGCCTGCTTCTCCCTCTGCCTGCCACTCCCCCTGCTTGTGCTCTGTCTCTCTCTCCTCCTCTGACCAAAAAAGAATATTCACATGTATCCCTTAAAGAAACTGGTGACCTCCCTGGGTCAGGAGAGAGGGAGAGGGCAGGGACTTTTCAATGACTACCTTTGGGGTTTGATTTTGACTTTAGGACATGGATGGGAATGTCCTACCCATCCCACATGAATTTTAAAAGCTAGAATGACTGTGGTAGAGGCCCTCTAAACTTCTGTTTGCTACAAACTGTGCTAAAGCAAAATGTGCAGGAATTAGGAGCATGATTCTTGAGTTAAAAAGACCTGGATTTGAAACTAAGTTTCTGCCACTAAAAATGGAGGCAGGTTTTCAGTTTCCCCACCTGTAAACCAGTGGTGGTGGTACACCCGGCTAAGTTAACCGTGAGGGCTACGGGTGTGTATGTGCGGGGCTCAGCACAGTGCCTGCTGGGGACACAGGGCATGCCCAGTGGATGAGAACTATCATTTTGGGCAAATGTCCTGTCTTCCATCTACCTCCTGACTTCGCCTCACCTTCCATTGAATATTTGAAGAAAAGGTCATTGACATTGGTCACAGTTTCTCCATCTTCTGCCTGGCTCTTGAGGATGTAGATTCTTTTAATTAAATCAGCAATAACTTGGTTGATTTCTCCTGAAAAAATGGCCACATCTCTTGGTTTCAGAATTCTTTGTCTCAATACACGTCTCATCTTGAGCCACTGTTCACCCTCCCTAGAAAAGTAAAGTGAGTTTCAAATAATCTTACTTCCATTGACATTCTGGAAAAGAACTCAGGGAACCTCTGAGAGTTTCCCCAGCAATAAAAAAGCCAACAAGGTCTGCCAATCCAAATGGAATTAAGATACTGTGTAGGGAGAGGAGAGTAATTTCAGCCTTGCTGTCTGTTCCCCTTGAAGCAAACTTTAAGGGGAAAAACTGCCCCTGGGAATCATCTTTATGAAAGTAATATGATTTCCTTTGAAAAACCTTGCAAAACTGTTATAATAATGAGACACGAGGCTGTTGTGATTAGCAAAAGAGAAAAAGGTTTATGTGTATGAACTCCTGAACCCTGAGTCCTGAACTGAGCTCCTGGGCGGAGAGTGGATAGTGGATGCCAAGCCGCAGGTGATGGTGCAGAGAGCAAAGAGCTTTTGCAGCATTTGGCCACTCCCCTCCGGGGCTGGACCAATGGGGAGGAGGTGTTTGATTATTTCCCTCAGAGCAGAAGTTGAGGGACTCTGGTGATATCCAATCCCAGCTTTTATTTACCTCATCTGAGAATCCTATGGTTGTATTTCTCCCCAGTTCATGCATAGAGTATATATACATAATACATATATATTATCACAATAAATAAAATCACAATAAAATTTCTAAACCAAAGGGATTTGGACCAGGGGATACACAGATGCTCTGTGTTCTCCTTCCTGCCTAGGACTGTGCTGATTAGCTTTTAGGGGCACAGAGGTGTCGGTGAGCCTTGTTTACAAATAATAATCATAGCCTGTTGAGACGGGAACAGCATCACATAGCGATCCATGCAGGAAGGATCTTAGCCCCTGTTCAGTACCTCCTAAAACAGCTGCTTGCCTCCTTCCCTGCCCACAGATCAGCTCTGTGATGCCCCCCTCCCTTGGTTGTCACTGAGAGGACACCTACAGCCTCCGAGCACTGCTTGAGAAACAATTCCTCCCCTCTCCCAAGCTAGTGCGACCCACACTTATCTCTTCCCAGAGGAGAAGGGACAGGGCCCTCAGCACCAGTATTTAGGAGATCATGCAAAGAGGCTATTTTGACACTACTCCACTGGGAGTTGTACAGTTTACTAAATACTGGTTTTCAGAGCCCAGCCTCCAGGCAGGGGTCCCCCCACGATGGTCCCCCCAGGCCACATACTCACGCTGAGATGAGCCCGGTGGATCTCCCTCGTAAGTGTCGGTACTCCTGCCAGGACCCCATGTCGGCTCTCTGGGGCGCGGCCCCCTCTGCCCGGAGCACCTGAGCCACCATGTCTCGGTCTGCAATAGATACTACAGACTGAAGACCAAAGTGAGACTTGAAGATTTTTCCATATTCCTGTGTGTGCTTCTGCTGCAATACCATGGAGAAACCAAAAAAGGAAAAAATACAGATATGATATATCTTTGACATAAACATTTCTATGTGTTAGGGGAGAGAAAATTGGGGCAGAGGAAAGCTCTACATTATACAGAGCTGAATCAGAGTTGTAACTTTACATATTCCTGAGATAAATGTAATTTCACATCATTAACCATATTCACATAAGTTTTCTTATTCTTTAGAGCTATGTTTTTAACAATACTTAGCTGTGTGGAGCAACAGGAGAGAAATATCATTATGGATGGGAATGAACTGCAGAGCCTTCAATGGCCTGAGCCAAAAAGACTGTGCCAGCCCCTGACCCAGACCCTCAGCCTCTCTTCCACCCTGTTCTGCAGAGAGAGCGCCCTCTGCAGGCAATCTGTAATGAACCTGTAAAAATGGATCCCTGCAAGAAAATGAAAGGGCATCCAGATTAGAAAGAGAGAAGTAAAGCTACCTTTAATCAGAGATGACATGATCTCCCATACAGAAAATTCTAAGGAATCCACTAGAAAACTATCTGAACTAATAAGTTCAGCAAGCTTGCATGATATAAGATCAATATGCAAAAGTCAGTTGTATTTCCATACACTAGCAACGAACAAACCAAAAAGAAAAGTAAGAAAACAATTCCATTTATAATAGCATCAAAAACAATAAAATGCTTAGGAATAAATTTAACAAAAAAAGTGCAAAACTTCTACTTTGAAAGCCATAAGAGATCATTGAAAGAAATTAAAGGAGACCTAAATAAATGGAAAGCTATCCCATGTTCATGGGTTGAAGGCTTAATATTATTAAGATGGGAATACTCCCCAGATTGACCCATAGATTCAACATAATCTCTATCAGAATTTCTGTTGACCTCTTTGTAGAAAATTGACAAGCTTAAAATGGAAATGCAAAGGACCAAGAATAGCAAAACAACCCTGAAAAAAAAAAGTTGAAGGCTTCCCTTTTCTCTATTTCAAAACTTGCTACAAAAGCAACAGTAATCAAGACAATGTAGTACTGACATGAGGATAGACATCTAAACCACTGGAGTAGAATTGAGAATTCAGAAATAAACCCGTACATCTCTGGTCAATTGATTTTCAACAAGGGTGCCAGTGCCAAGACAATTAAATAGGGGAAGAATAGTCTCTTCAACAAATGGTGCTGGGACAAATGGGTATCTACAGGCAAAGAATGAACTTATACCCTTCTCTCATACCAGATATAAATATTACCTCAAAAGGGTTCAAGTCCTAAATGTAAGAGCCAAAACCATAAAATTCTTAGAAGAAAAGATAGGGGTAAATCTTCATGACCTTGAATTTGGCAATGGTGTCTTAGATATAATACCAAAACCACAAACAACAAAAGAAAAAGTAGATAATTGGACTTCATCAAAATTTAAAACTTTGGTGTTTCAAAGGACACTATAAAGAAAGTAAAGGGTAATCCCCAGAATTGAGAAAATATTTGCAAAGCACATATCTGATAAGGGACTTGTATGTAAAACATATAAAGAACTATGACAACTCAATAAAACAATGAACCAATTAAAGACTGGGCAATTATTTGAATGGACATTTCTCCAAAGAAGATATACAAATGGATAAAAAGCAGATGAAAAGAAGCTCGACATCATTAGTCATCAGGGAAATGCAGATCATAGTCACAATGAGATACCACTTCACACCCACTAGAATGGTTGTAATCAAAAGGATAGGTAATCACAAGCCCTGGCAAGAATGCAGAGGAATCACAACCTCTTACATTTGCTGGCTGGAATGTACATACTGCAGCCACTTTGATAAACAGTCTGGCAGATTCTCAAAAGGTTAAATTCGAGTTACTATTTGACCCTGAAATTCCACTCCTAGATATATATCCAAAGAAATGAGAACATATGTCTATACAAAAATAAACTTATACTGAACGTTCATAGCTGCATTTTTCACAATTAGGAAAAAGGTGGAAACAATCCACATGTCTGTCAACTGATGAATGGACAAGCAAAATGTAGAATGTCCCTTACACTGGAATATTATTTGCCCATAAAAAGAAATGAGGCACTGGTACCCACCACAACATAGATGAACCTTGAAAATGTGATGCTCAGTGAAAGAAACCAGACACAAAAGACCACATGTTATGATTCCAGTTATATGAAATGTCCAGAATAGGCCAGTCTACAAAGACAAAAAGTAAATTAGTGGTTGCTTATGGCTGGGGGGGATGGAGAGTTGGGGAGTGACAGCTAAATGAAACAATATGGGGTTTCTTTTTAAAGTTATGAACATGTTCTGGGGCGCCTGGGTGGCTCAGTCATTAAGCATCTGCCTTCAGCTCAGGTCATGATCCCGGGGTCCTGGGATCGAGGCCCTCATCAGGCTCCCTGCTCGGCGGGAAGACTGCTTCTCCCTCCTCCACTCCCCCTGCTTGTGTTCCCTCTCTCGCTGTCTCTCTCTCTCTGTGTCAAATAAATAAATAAAATCTTTTAAAAAATGAATAAATAATAAAAAATAAATAAAGTTATGAAATGTTCTAAGGTTAAGTGGGGTGACTGTTGTATGGTATGTGAATTATATCTCAATAGCTCTAGTACCAAAAAACAAAGAGAAATCACAATAAATGTAAATGGGTTAAATAAATAAATAAATGAGAGAGAGAGAAAGTACCCTTCAGCCTGGCTCAGCATGGCAGAGCCAGGTCTGAGCATATGGGGGAAATGACTGTCTCTCTTTGGTATCTGTCAACATTTCTCATCACCCCAATTCTCAACCTCAAAAATAGCAGGCCAGAGAGTCCATTGTCTCTCCATTCTTCCTTCTCCTCAGGTAGAAGATACTCACTTCCTTATCAACCTGGGTGAAGTCCTCCCACCCAGAGATAAAAACACTCAGCCTCAACTGGAAGGTGTTCCTCTGGGTCTCTGAATGGGAGCCATGGATGAGATGACTGTTAATAGCCAACTACTGGGAAATGGGTCATTCTCCAGGCAAATCCAGCTACTGAACAGGCACCATCAGCACTAAGGAGCAACTGACCAGGCACAAGAAAGAACAAGATGGATGACCCAGATAGTGTACAGCACTTTTTTGCTAGTGGACCACAGAACAGTACAGTCAGTCCTGGTACTTAGAATTTGCATAGACATTAAGAGCACAGACCCTGGAGTTTGAATCTTAGCTCAGTGTGTACTAGCTAGGCAACATTACCCACTGCACTTCAGTTTCCTCACCTGTGAAATGGACAAATAATAGAACTTCTCTCACGTGTAGGACTAGAACTGTGCCTGGCACATGAAAAGATTTCTAGAAGTGTTCATTATTAGTATTTACATGTTATGATTATAGCTTACAAAGCCCCTCCACAGCCCTAATCTCATTTGATCACATAATAACTTGTGAGATGGATGAGGATTGTCAGACTCCTGCACAGACAAGGAAAATGAGGTCCAGAGAGAATAAGTGATTAGCCAAGACTCCACAGGTGCACGTAGAGGCCAGCATTTGAACACAGGGCCCTCCTGCTCTGTCACATCTGAAACAGCCTCTAGCAACACAGGCTAGGATGTTGCTCTGTCACTAATTAGCTGCGTGACCTCGGGCAAGTCACTCAACCAACACTTGGGTCTTTTCCACCTGTACGGGAAAGACTTGAACCATACAGATGACAGGCAAGCTAACACTGTGTGATCACAAGTCTAATAAAGTATACTGGACGTAATGGTAACAGAGTAACTGTCTTCCTCCTACAAGGGCCTCAGGAGCAAGCTGGAGAGCAGGGCAGAGGTTTTTACTAGAAGCTTATTCAGTCTAGAGCAACCTGCAGTGGGGTAACCCAAGGCCATAAAGCACTCCCTGGGGTCCTCAGAGGGGTTGCAGGAGGATTCCTGCTCTTGTAAATGAGTGCTATTTGGTGAATAAAGGAAAAGGGAGCCCAGAAGGACAACGGAGCTGGGAACAGTTGGGGCCTGTCTACTGTGTTTTGAGAAAGCACAGGTGAGTCAGTTCCGTGACTGTCCTCTGGCAGGTGTGTGCCACCACTCAGGACCATCATGGTGATGGGTGTAGTCTGAGCCTTGGGCAGGAGGGCTGCATGTAGGGTGATGGCAGGAAGCAGGGCAGATGCAGGGAAAATGCCCCTCTGAACTGAGACACTTTCTGGTGGTGGAGAGGTGGCTCTCTAGGCCGCTCCTGCTAGAGATGCAGGTTTTAACAGCAGTCAGCTTCTCAAAGAAACCTGTGCTGCGGAACCAACTGTGGGCTTATGCCGTAAGAATAAAAGCAGATGGCAACAGAAGGGGATAAAAGTAAAAAAAATAAATTAATTAAAATTAAAAAAAGAAATAAAAATATCAAACTGTACTGACTTGTCCACAATCAATAACAAAACGTGTTTTTCCCCATTTGAAAACTATCACACCCTGATATCTTATGTCCAGATTCCACAGGGAAAAGAAAGAAAATCCTTTTTGACCCCTAGAAGCATATCAGGCGAAAACTGTGTAGGGTTGGTGTGGGGATGGAGAGGAGGGTCTGGAATTTCAAATTAAACCTTCTCCTGAGTTCTGTTTTTTCTCCCAATGAGGTTTCTGCTTCTCCAGCCCAATCAGGGCTTCTGCACCATCAGGTATGTTTCTTGGTTGAGGGAAGGCACGAACGACCATGACCGCAGACCAGGTGGGTGGTCACGGAAGGCTTCCTCGGAGAAGTGCTTTGAAGGATGGTTTTGAACAAAAGTAAGTGGGACGGGGGTGGGGGGAGGGTGTTCTTGGAAGCGATTAGAAGGCCCAGATCCCAGAAAGATGCGCTGGGGTGGGAGTCCTGAGGAAATGAAGAAGTCAAGTAAGGAAGCAGCTGCAAGAGCGAGAGGAAAGGAGATCCCATGACCCTGGCAGGTGGAGGGTCCCACCTTGCAATGAAAGGCGCAATTTGGGATGGGGAAAAGAAGGGCAAAACTCAGGGTCGAGATGAGAAACTGTAGGCTGACATGTCCCAAAACTTCCACAGGTTGTTGGAACGACTGGGTACTAACTAGGTCCCTGCCCGAGTCCTGGCTTGCAGCCGAGGTTCATTTACATTCGTGTGGCGGCCTCATCATTTGGAGGCTAAGCAACCTGTGGCCTCCGAACCTCAGATGTTTGGGGGAGGGGGGCGTGTTTGTTTTCCATTTATAAAACACAAGCAAAAAGGACCAGAAAGGGACGCAACATGACCTCGGCCGGCCGTGTAGACACGGTGCTCTGGAGAGCTCAGAGCAGCTTGCAGCGCTCCCGGGCCGGGCCCCCGACGCCCCCGCGAGAGAAGGAGCTCTTCTGGGGCCCCCTCGGGGCCATCCCGGGACTGAACCGCAACTCCCTCCGCTGGGCTCCGCAAGCCTCCTCCCGCGGGGGTCCACCCTGAGCGGGACCTCCTACCTGGGGACAGCTCCCCGGCACCCCTCCTCGGGCTCATTCCCCAGAGCCCTCTCCCCGGCTCGCCCAGCCCGGAGACCCCGCCCTGGCGCCCTTCCTTGAAGCCCCTTTCTTGGCGCCCCCTGCCCGGCGTCCCCTCCCCGGCATCCGCTGCCCGGTGCCTCCTTCTTGGGGTCCCTCCCGGGCGACCCTCCTTAACGTCCCCTTCCCGGCCGGGCTCGGCGCCCCCTCCCCGGCGTCCCCCTCCCGGTGTCCCCTCCCTGGAGTTTCTTCGGGCACCCTCCGCGGCGCCTCCTTCCGGACGCCCTCCGGCGCGCGCGAGGCCTCCGCGCTCAGAGGAACAGTCCCCTGGCCCGCTCCCCTCCCGGCCGGGCGCGCGCTGCTACCTGGATCTCGTGGATGCGGCTGAAGCCGTCCTTCCAGAAGAACTCCACCAGGTTGGCGAGGGTGCGGGGCCCCGGCATGGCGGCCAGGCTGCGGGGCCCTTCGGCCCGGCCCCCGGCCCGCGGCGCTCCCGGCCTCCCCACTCCTTTGTCCTCGGCCCGCGTCCCTGCCGGCAGCCGGGCGCCCTCGGGCCGGGAGGGCCGCGAAACCCCGGCGCTCAGGAACCCGCCTCGCCCGGCCGCCGGGCTCACTCGGGCGTTCAGGATTCGCGCCAGGAGAGCCATTGCAGCCATTTGGGTTGGTTGGTTGGTCGAAGCAATTGTTTTGTTTGGGGAGATGCTGCCCTTTGGGGTTGGTTGCTCTTTGCTTCAATGTGTTCGAGCAGCGCTTCTTTGAACTCATACCGCCTGGGCATCAGTTTACACAGACCATTATTAAAGGCTCCCTCCCCTAAGGCTGGAAAAAAAAAGAGGCTGCAAGAGAATGAGGCGGTTAGCTTTTCTTCACATCACATTAATTCACCACTTAAGCGTTGTTCGAAACCACAAAATTTTAAGTTCAACCCCACTTCTGACCATGGCCCAAAAAAAAAGAAAAAGAAAAGTCTACTGGAATTTTCAAAAGTATTTTCTTCCTTAAAAATTACTGTGGAGGGGCGCCTGGGTGGCTCAGTCGTTAAGCGTCTGCCTTCGGCTCAGGTTATGATCCCAGAGTGCTGGGATCGAGTCCCGCATCGGGCTCTCTGCGCCGCGGGAAGCCTGCTTCTCCCTCTCCCACTCCCCCTGCTTGTGTTCCCTCTCTCGCTGTGTGTCTCTCTCTCTGTCAAATAAAGAAATAAAATCTTTTAAAAAAAATTACTATTGAGAGTGCGCCCAAAAAATTTAATTCACTATATATATATATATATGTTTTAGAAACTGCTCTTCATGATTTCAAGCTATACAGTTATAATTCAACATGCAAAAATGTTAGATGATTTGTGCATGTAGTTCATGATATTGTAAAATGGCCACATTATTATTTTACCACAAGTTTCCATAAGGATAATTGTGCAATCTCCGTTTGGCTTTCATGAGTCTCCTGGATTTTATGCCGGCACACCACTGCAAGTAGTGAGGAAGTGTGGTGCTTGAACATTGGCTTGCGTATTTGGCAAGTTTCTGGTGTCTCTCAAGGATCACAAGGATTGGTCCTGTTAAACGCAACACTTAGAGAAAGGAACACACCTACACGGGAAAGTGAGAAGAGAGAGGATCTTGCCAGAATAGGTTCAGAGCCCAGTGCCTTGTTGCAGAGAGGAAGTCGGCCACTGAGGGAGGGACTTGGCATGGGAAGAGCAAGAAGTGTGTCATCTGGTTTCAGGAAGGGAGCCCAGATTCTGAATGAGCAGTTCAACAACTTACCTTGAAAACTGAGAACATTGCTTAAAGATTTCTACAGTTTGCACTCGTGCAGCTGAAGGAGAAAAAACACACATGCACACACAAACTACAAACACCAAGTATTGTTATTAAACAAAACTAGATATATTTTTTGATTAATAGTTTATGCCTTTACAGCTCTGTTAAATCTACACTGGGCTTATAATAATTGTAAGTATGTAAGTGAAGCAAAGATGGCCACAGTTATTCAATTTCTAGAACTTACTAAGAAGTACTCAGCAACTCTTATTTATAAAGCATTGTAGCTGCAAGGGATTCAAAGAGTAAGCCATTGAACCTGCCTGTGAGGGCTCATAACCTATAAAAGGAATACAACAGGCACACAAATCCAAGCGGGATTACCATCAGTGTCATAAAGCTGGTACAGAATATGACTGGATTTTGTGGGAAGGAGTGATCACACCTACTTGAAGGGCTGGTGCAGAAGAAAGACCTCCCAAGAGAAGTCACATTTTCGGCAAGGTTTGAAGACCGGGCTCAATTTCAGTAATCAGAAGTGGGGCAGCCATTGTTCGGGGAGAGTATGAAGAACGGCACAATGACTTTGTTTTGAGAGACTTTTTTTAAGTATTTCTGAGGGTTACTGGTCCTCCAGAACAAAGATTTCATTAAAGGGACCTTACGTAGAAAAAGGCAATTCAGTCCATTCTAGACAAGAAACTGTTAAATATAGATTTATATATAAAGTGATTTGGGGAGCCTCGGTGGCTCAGTCGGTTAAGCGTCTGCCTTGGGCTCAGGTCATGATCCCGGGGTCCTGGGATCGAGTCCTGCATCGGGCTCCCTGCTTCTCCCCCCACTCATGCTCGCTCTCTCACTCTCAAATAAATAAAATGTGTTTAAAAAAATAAAGTGATAAAACATGGCTACATCTTTATTAGGGCTAACTAAGAAAAAGCCTGTGGTTGAAGACAGGAAGGTAAAGGGGAAAAGAATACAGAATACAGAAAAAGACAAGAAGAAAGATTTGATCATGTGCAGAAACAGGTCTTCAGGGAGCACTCTTGCTCGCCTATGTCTTAGGATGTCATCTCTGGTGATGTCTAAAGCTTGTTCCATAATTTTGGATACAGATAAAATTATCAGTTCTTCATATTTGCCTCAAGCCCTAATGAAACTGAGCCAAAGGTTATTTTAGAATCTCAGTACAGTGGTATAAATTATCAATCTGAAATTCTGCAATAGAATAGTATATTGTTTTCTTTTTTTTCCTGTTTGCTTATTACTGTTTTGTAGCTCATTATTATTATTAGTGGAAAATGTATATAACACCAGAAATAGAATAAATCGTTCTGATTGGGAGACTTTCTTTCACTCTAACCTAAATAAATAAATAAATAAAAATTATAAAGTAACTATTACTTTGGTCTTTGTGCAGTTTTTTTTCAATGAATATTGCTTTTATAATAAAAAATAGTTTATTTGAAATAAATGATTCTCATAGTTACGGGGAAGTTTAATGGGAGAAAATAAAGGGTGGAATGTTATAAGAATCTGAAATGCAAGTAAAAAATGACTGAAAAAAATTTTTTTCCAAATAGGAAAATACTGTTCATGTGCTTGTTCCTTTCTCCCCCAGTGAGCAAGAGAAACAAAAATGAGACTCTGATTTCAAGTAGACAGGACAGCACTCTCTGTCCTCGTCTGACCTGAAACCAGGAGATTTTGCACAGCTGGTTTCCCTCAACAAAACCAGCTTATTGGCAGTACATAGGGAAACAATGAGGTGCCCTTACCCCAAGAGAAAAAAAAAGGGAAATAAAGTTGCCCTTTAGAAGTTGGATGAATAAACTCTACACAAATTAACTATCTATCCGTGGAAGTAAAACCAAGATATATAGTCTTTAAAATCTCCCAGAACTCAAATCAAGGTGACCTCAGATGAATCTCTAGGATGCAAAACTGGAATGTGGGGGCTGGTAGGTAAGCAAAGCTTAATGACGTGTATTCATGGAATAGAATAGGGATGATCAAACAATCTCAGAAAAGAGAACTAGTGTACAAGACGTTCTAGGAAGCAAGGCTTTCCATTCCCAAATCCAAACTTGCCGGTCACGGTGAGGCAGGAATAATTTGCCAAGCTTCATATGGTCTAGGGCAATATCTCTCCCCCATGCTGGCTTCCCGTGCTCTGATTCCTTGCCCCTGATTGGTTTCATTTTCCATCTTTAGAATTAATGATGCCTCTAAAAAAAACTAATGGTAGATCTTGCTACTTCCCCACACCCGTCAATTAAAAGACAAAACAGAAAGAAAATGAAATGAAGATATTCTGGAAGACAGAACTAAGAGATCTCAAATCTTCTTTCTGTGAGTAAGCTGGGGCTCTTTAAGCCGCTGCTGACACGTAGCCCCAACCATCCCCGTCAGTTGAGGCAAAGAGAAAAACTTCCCTCTTCCTCAAAGGTATGTGGGAATTCTCCAGTGGGGTTCGTTAGCCAGCAAAGCTTTAGAAGCAGTTGTCTAGCTGCCAAAATACCTTTAACTTCTGGGGCAGAGAACGAACAAAGGCTAACTGATGTTCAGGGCATGGGCAGGGGTGCCCAGTGGTAGACCACTAGGCGTGGGAGGCAGCCTCCTGCCACCCTTGGCCTTCCCTTCCCCACGTGCCCATGTTCAAGAGGAACAAAGGGATAACCTGGAAACCTCAGCGTGTTTGGCGGCGGGGCATGGGCTCCTGGGACCGGCATGCCCACAGGAAACTGGAAGAGAAGCAGACCTCTGGTTGACTCTCAACTCAGGGACACCTTGGGTCTGTCACTGCATTATTGTTATTTTATGTCTAATCCTTTTTAAGGATCCATAGTTCTCCCTAGACTGAGAATCAGTATTTCCCCACAAAATCACCCTAAGTTCATGGAGGCCTGAGGCCCTTGCCAGGCCAATGAGAAGAGTGCACAGGCTTCCACTATCCATGAAAGTCTTCTCAGCATATAAAGCAGGCCCTGAAATATGAGGAGCTCAGGCACTGAAATACACCCTGACGAAAGCAGGCCATAGCAAGGCGTTCTGTGCAAGACAGACCTACTCAGAATCAAACTGTCCTCCCTTCACCAGTGGAAGGAACAGTGTTAATAATAACTGTAACTTACTGAGCATTTACTATATGCCAGGTATTACACAGAGATCCTCACGCAGCTTCTCAATTCTCATAAAAATCTCCATTTTATACATGAAAAAACAGACACAGATGTTCAATAAGCCCATGGCCACCCAGCAGTAAGCAGTGCAATCAGGATTCAACCAGGCCTTGGGCTCCAAGCCCATAAATTTAGCCAAGCACTGTACATTCTCAGCTAAGCTTCCACACAACAGCATCAGAGGGCAAAGCAGGAGCAGTAAATGGTCTCTGAAAAATACCCTAGCATGTGGGAAGCAATATTGTATGGAAAAAACAGTTCTGTAGACATCTAATGTCCCAGATCTTAGACCCAGATCTGAGTTTTGACCAAGCCTGTACTTTACTACTTGACTTTGGAGAATTCAACCAAACCTCTTAGCCCCACGTCAGATATGTCTATCTCATTTATTAGGTAAGAACAAAGGATGGTCTGAAGAAATATCTGAATTCTAAACTGAGATCTTAATATATCTCAGAAAACCTTCTTTAAGATGAGAAATTTGTCAGGGTGCAGTAG